TGCCATCCATTTACCTGCAAATGCCATGATTTTATTCTCTTTCATTGCTGAGTAAAATATCAGCAGTACAGTTTCTACCAGCTTATTTCACATTTCTCAGTCTGTTATGGTTTAGATATGAGGTGTCCTCACAAAAGCTTATGTGTTAATGCAAGAATAGTCACAGGTGAAAGAATTGGATTATGAGAGTTGTTACCTAATCAATCCATCCTAGATTGAAAGGACTGACTGGGTGGTAATTGTATGTAGGTGGAGTGTGGCTGGAAGAGGTAGGTCACTGGAGACATGCCCAGGAAGGGTTTATCTTTATTACAGACCCTTCCTACATCCCTGCCTCCTTGCTGTCKGAGGGAGGAGCTTCCCTCCACCATGCCCTTCCTCCATGATATGCTGCCTCACCTTGGGCCCAAAGAAATGGAGTCAGCCATCTATGAACTGAACCTCTGAAAGCATGAGCCCCAAATTAACTTTCCCTTTTTTAAGTTTTTCTTGTCAGGTGTTTTGGTCACAGCAACACAGAGCTGACTGAAACATAGTCTCAACCTTCCTTTTATGTAGCATTTGAGTAATGTCATCTACATGGTGTGGCTGGTGATGATAGTTAACCCAATTAAAGGAATTGGCCCCAAGACACATTCAACAAGTGTGAACTTCCTTTCCCTCCTCTTAAAACTGCCTACTTGAAATTCTGTGCATAATTTCAAATAATTTACATAGATACTCCACCTTTAAGGAGGTAGATTCCAAACCACAATCCTTATCTGTGATCTACACACAGTGACTTCCTTCCATAGATACAGCACAGAAAGGGTGACAATACAGTGACTTTACATAGGAGAATTCAGGCAAACATTACCTCATTCGGKGATCAAGGTCAACATCAGTAACAAATAATGTTGATATTATGTACTTTTGATTGGTTGTAGTAAAATAATCACACTTTGCTGCTATAGATTTCCTCCCCCAAACTCATAACCCCAGTCTTATTATGAKAAAAACACTGGACAAATTCTAATAGAAGAGCATTCTATAAACTATTTAGCCAATACTACWCAAAACTTTCAAGGTCTTTAAAAAAGCAATAGACAAGATGAGCCTAAGGAAGCATGACAACTAAATATAATGTGGYATCTTGGATGGAATTCTGTAATTAAAAAAAGGGAATTTAGGTAAACTAAGATGATGTAAGTAAAACATGGACTTTTGTTTATTATGTCAATTATATCAACCAATTGTATCAATATTTGTTTTTCAATAATGACAAATATGCCACAGTAATGCAAGATGTTAATAATAA